GCTTCCTGGCCGAGCTTCTGGGAGCGCACCTGCTGAGGTTGGACCAAGGAAGCGGGCAAGAATGAATACGGGACGAATTGGCCGCAGCCGAGGGGCCGCCTAATAGAAGTAGCAGCGTGAAGGGTGGGAACTGGAGAAAGAGCCGAATGGAGGCGAGTTGTTCACGTTTCACGGGCAGCAGTGTAGTGTTTGTGTCTGACTGTCGCTGGGCTGCTTTTGCACTGGAAAATACCACGATTAGAGGACCGATTTAAAGGCTTTAACAACGGCAGCACCTTGATCAGGAGTGGGGTGCCCGGCCTAGCTAAAGAAGAATGGATTCCAAAACCCAAGAGAAAATGGGAGAAGGCTGCAAGCTGTCCTAAATCATATAGTTGTGTGAGAGAGACTCAGCCACACTCCTGGACATGCTTACCCATGGTTAATTTTACCATAGGTCACTTAATTAAATTTCCTGGATTCCCACAACACGCTGACTTATAAGCTAACCACGCTCCTGAGTTCACGCAACATATTAAAATACATTTGGCCAATTTGTGGTTCACTGTTGTGCAACCCCCATCCAAAGCTTATAGGTGTTTTGAGAACTATACTGTACTGTAGAAGCAGTTGAATAACAAAGCTGATGAAAGGGGAAGACATTCAAGGCTGTGAGAGGAGTAACTTTTACAGCAAGGTTAGATGGAGTTGAACATGAGTGAGAAAGCCTACTTTCTTCTCCCCAAACAAGGACAATTTGGCAATAATCAGATGCGTTCTCCAATGAAAAAGGCAATCAAAACTTTGTGTGAGAAGACAATAAAGCTTCTTTTCTCATATTTTGAGAAATGTCACATCATGTGCTTGGCCACCAAGAGTGTGAATGTTAATTTCAGTACTGTTGTTTTTGGGCATCCCATACCTAAAAATAATTTCAACGTTTTTATATGGAATTTGAACAACCAATTTATTGTAAATTACAGATAAATGAAGAGAGTTATCAAGAGAGGTGTTAGAATACTACTATTTCAGCAGAAGTAACTTGAGAAAGCTAGTTTTACAGTTTCACATTGGTTACAGCCAGATTTACATTATTTTCAGGAATGGCTCCTAATATATTTAATGTTGAGGTCAGTTCAAGAACTTTAAGTAGCTCAAGATTCACCAAATACTGTAGATATTAAAAAAGGCAGGATACAAATGTAATCATAATAATGTTATATGGATATTCATCATTAACTGAAATGAAATATCACTGTAGGATGGAACTTAGTCCTGGAATTACAAAGACCTTAGATAAATAAAGGATAAGTTTGTATATGACGGAAATATAGATGGCATTGAAATTTGGGGGGAAAGTAGGAATTATTGAAGTTACATATTGAAGTTATATATTGAATGCCATGAAGCAGGTGATTGCCTTCTAATAAAATATATTATCTGTTATTTTCCTCACAAGAGGTTACTCTTATTGATCAATATGATATATAAACTAAAGTTATGCAGAAACCTAATAATAGTTGGGAATTCTAATGCAGAGCTTTGAAAATAGACCAATCCAGGTTCCTCCAGTTTGGAGGGAGCTCAGTATTCATAGCTGGCTGGTCAGTGTTGAGATTCAAAGCAAAGGTAAAAAATGTTAATTAGATAAATGCAAACATTTATACTTTTTTTGTCTGTTTTTTCATAAAATGGGCTGAAATTTGAAGCAAATTAGAATGGGTGATATATATAAAAT